ACCCCGTCCCCCTCTCCCCCCCAGACCGGCCCGACGCTACACCTTCCTTCCCCTCAACCTGGCTTCCGAGCCCAGGCCCAGGCCCGCCCCGCCCCGCGGGGATGCCCTCCCTGACGCCCCCTCTCCTTGCAGGGGCGCGAGCGGACGCGAGGAGGGGCGAGCTGCCGGAGACCGGAATGGAGCCCGGCGAAAGGAGGAGGCTCTCATCCGCCTCCCTGGAAGGAGACCTGAGAGAAGAAAATAGTCAGTGTCGTGCTCGCCCCCTTCTGGCCGCCCGCGGTTTAAGACGCGAACGGGGTGGGGGCAAAGGGCTCAGGCGCAAAGCGCAGGGCGCTGTGTGGACTAAGGGCGTCCAGGGGCATGAAGCTCCGCGAGGGCGGTCGGGGAGACCGGCCGCAGAGAGTGTGCTGGGGACCCACCTTCCCCGGACCCCTCCTCCGCCTCCCTGCCCCCTCCACCCCTGCTCCGGACCCCCCCTCATCTTCCAGCCCCCTGCCCTCCACCTTGCTGCCCTCCAAACTGGCCGACCTCAGGGCTCCTCTTGGGAAACTGGTGCAAAGTCCAACGCTCACGTTGAGGCGCTGTCCTGGAGGACTGCGTAGTGGCGAGCCCTTTCCTGGGCCCGAGTGAATCCCTGTGCGTGTGCTCGTTCCTGTTGGTAAATGTCTCGGGGTGGAACCCCTGCGTCCAGGCCCGTGTGTAGCTTTATGTTAACCCCCGGGGGAGAAGAGGCCAAGTGGCTCCACATCCAGGCCAGTAATAGGTATTGTCCTGTTCATTTTGGACATCGGGTGGGTGTGTAATGGCACCTCACCGTGGTTTCAATTTTACCCTCCCAAAGAGGGTCAAGCTCAATTTTACATCTCCCAAAGAGATGTCAAGCTCTTTTCATGTGCTTGCTCGCCATCTGGGGCTCTTTTGTGGAGTGCCTTTTCCAGTTTTTTGGCCGTTATTAGATTGGGTTGTGGGTCTTATTGAGTTGTAGGAATGCCTCGTCTATTCAGGATACCAGTTCTTTCTCAGATAGACATAAATACTTTCTGGTAGCCCGTGGCTGGTGTTTTCAGCCACTTGATTACTTTTGAGAATCAGAACCTCTTAATTGTAAGGAAGTGTAACTGTCGATCTTTTCTTCTATAGTTAGTGGTTTTTGAATCTTACTAGGAAATCTGTACTCACTCCATTGTCCAGAAAATAGCATCCCATGTTTTCCTTTAGAAACTTTATAATGTTACATTTCACCTCTACCGCCACAATTCATAGGGATTCACTATATTGTATGGAGTGAGGTAAGGGTCAGAGGGCAAATGTTCACTCTTCCCCCATATGACTATCTAATTGACCCAGTTTGTGCCCTGTAAACAATGTCATCTTTGTGGAAAATCAGACATAGTCCTACTTTTTGTTTTCCATTCTGTTTCATTGATCTCTCTGCCTATCCTGAGTCCATACTACCCTGTTTTAATTCCAGTAGCTTCATAATAAGTCATAATATTTCATAGTATGACTTCATCATTCAAGACTTGTTAAGGTTTTCTTAGACTTGGCATCACCATGTAAGTTTTAGAATTAAATTGTTAATTTAACCCCCACCCCCTACACACACACACACACACACACACACACACACACACACACACACACAAATCCTGCTAGGATTTAATTTTGGTTACAATGAATCTATGGATCAATCTGGGTGAAAATTAACATTTTATCAATATTGAGTCTTCCAACCCAAGAACATTTAGTTTTTAATTCTTATCAATAGTATTTTGTAGTCGTTAGGGTACAGGAATGGAAGACCTCTTGTGTTAAATTTACTCCTAGATACTTGATGTTTTTTTTAGAGATCACATTATTGAGTTTCATTTTCTAATTGTTCCCAGTATATAGAAACACAATTAACTCTGATATACTGACTTGGCATTTGGTGACTTTGCTTACTAATTCTAATAGGTAGTAGATTCATTTAGATTTCTTAGGTATACAATCATCATCTACAAATCTTTTCAGTCTTTATACCTTTTATTTCCTTTTCTTGCATTATTGCATTGGCTAGTACTTTCAGTATGATGTTGAATAGAAGTAATATACTGGACGTCTTTTTTTTGTTCCCACACCGAGGGGAAAAGTGCTCAGTATTTCACCACAAAGTATGATGTTGCTACAAGCTTTAAAGGAATTTCCCTTTTATTCCTGGCTTACTGAGAATTTTTAAATGAAGAATTATTACATGTGATAAAATGAATAGTTATTACATTTTATCACATGATTTCTTCATCTTAGATGATGATATGTTTTTTTTTCTTTTAGTCTGTTAATGTGGTGGATTATGTTGATGAATTTTCAAATATAAACCAACTTTGTATTCCTGGAATAAACTTCACGTGGTCATGTATTTTATATGTCACTGGATTTGATGTACAAATTTTTAAGACTTACACGCCTATTTTTATTAATGATATTGGGTGTACCATTCTTTTCTTGTAATGTCCTTGTTAGGTTTTGGTGTTAAATTTATGACCACCTAAAAAGAGTTGAAAGGGTTTCTTATTTCCCTAGTCAATGAAATGGCTTATATAAGGTATTTCACCTCCAAATATTTGGAAAGATTGATCTGTGATGCCATATAGACCTGGAGTTCTCATTGTAGGAAACTTTTTAATTATGGAATTAATTTCTTTACCAGAAATAAGCTTACCTGGATTTCCCATTTTATGTCAGTTTTGATAAAGCTGTATTTTTCGAGGAAAATGTTTATTTCATATGAACTGTCAAATTATTGGCATGGGGATGTTTATAATATCTTATTATCATTTTAATATCTGTACAATAAGTAATGATGTCCCCTTTTTAATTCTTGATATTGATAATTTGTGTTTTCTTTTTTCTTGAGCTATTTAGATATTTGTCAATTTAAAAATTGTTTCAAAGATCCAACTTTTGGTTTATTAATAATTTTCTCTAGGGCACTTTGGTTTTTTGTTTAATTGAATTCTGCTCTTATCTTCATTATTTCTGTCTTCGTTCTTTTTGTTTAATTGTTCTCTTGCTAGCCTCTTGGGATGGTAGATTAGACAGTTTTCAATTTGTTTTCTAATATATGAGTTTAAATTTATAAATTTCTCTCTAATCCCTATTTTAGCTGCATTATAGTGCTTTGAAATGTCATATTTTTATTATCATTCAACTCAAGTCATTTTTGAGTTTTCACTTCATTTCTCCTTTGGTCTATGTTTAATTTTTAAAGTGTACCACTTAACTTGAACATTTGAGAATATTCTGGTTACGTTTTGTTATGAATTTCTAGTTTGATTTAAGAGTTTTCAGAGAACTTAATCTATATCATTTCAATCCTTTGAAATTTATTGAGACTCTATGGTCTAGGATGCAAGCTATATTGGAAGACACGTTAAGTGAAGAAAATGTGTGTCTCAAGTTGTGGAACATGGTGTCTATGTACATCATTTAAGTGCAGCTGGTTAATCATGGTGTTCAAACCTGCTACAGTCTACTGAGTCTTTGTTTAATCTTTCATTTACTGAGAAGTAGGTCCAATATCAATATGATTGTGGATTTTCTATGTCTTTTTTTTTTAGCTTTGCCTACTTATACTTTTATATACAGGGAAGTTTATGCCCATTTGGAACTTTTACTTCTTCCTGACAAATTGATCCTCTTGATATTAGAGACCATCTCTCTTTTGTTTTTAATAATGATTTTATTAAGTTTTCTTATTATTGATAAGTAAACATTAGTATGTATCTAAATATTTACTAAGTGTCTCTAGAAATGACATTTTTTACATAACTAAACTCTTTTTTCCCATTTGATAAGATGGACAATAATTCCTTAATAAAATCCAATGCCCAGAATATATTTGTATTTCCCCAGCAAGTCCCAGAGCTGGTTTGTTCAAATCAGGATCTGGTCAAGGGCCACCCACTGCATTAGGCAGTCCTGTCTCTCAACTATCTTTTACCCTTCTCTTGCCTTGTGCTTTCAAGAGCTAGACTTACTGATGAGAATAGCCTCTTGTTGTGTAGACAGTCCTACCTTTGGGACTTGTCCGGCTGTTGCCGCATGGCGGTCTCCTCTCCTCCTCTGTCGCCGGCATGACCCTTGTGATCTGGAGATGAGCTCCAGAGGCTTGATGAGATTTGGGTTGAGTATTTTGTCAAGGCTCCTTTGGGGGTGGCGCTGTGCCCCTGATTTGCCCACCGTGTCTGGCTGCCCCGTCAGCAGTGCCCCCACCAGTCACTGGAGCAGTGCCGTCCGCACCCCTCCCTCGTAGAGCAGCCTTCCCCGAGGCCACAGGAGGGGTGGTGCTATGGCACCTGGTGACTGTCCGCATCCCCTGTGTGGGGTGGGGGTGGGGGTGGGGGGTTCCCTAGCGGATCCCTCTGAGGTGGGACGGGGCTGAGGTCTCCTGGATCAGTGCCTGCAAAGTCCTGAGGGAAGGAGGCCTGGGCAGGGGATAGAAGGGGCGCCATGACGATGCTGCAGGCCGTGGCGGCCCCGGCCCCAGCTCTGGCACCCGCTCACTGTCCCCCCGGCTCCAGCTGCCCTTGGTGGCCCTCGCGTGAATGGCCGTTTCTCCGCACCGAGGAGGTGATGAGCTGCGGTCTGTGAGAAGTGCTTCCCTCCCGGGCAGGCCTCCTTGGCCTCCGCGAAATCCATGTCCTTCCAGAAGGTCTGCTTCGGTGCCTGTTTGTGCCCGGCAGTTATGGGTTCCCAGGGAAGCGGCTGGAATGCCAGGCCTCACCGACGGCCTCAGGTGAGGGTTCTGTTGTGGCTTTCTCACCTCTGAGAATCTTTCCGGACGTCTGCACCATGTCTGGCCAGTCACCATCACGTTTTGTGACGCTCCGGCGGTCCACGCTCAGCCCCCTGCCTCTGTGTTCCCATCTCTTTGCTGTCCCTCCATCCAGGCTGTAAGTGTGTCAAGATGCCCTGTATCGCCTGGGGCATCCGGTGTCCCCGACCGGGAATCCCAGCTCTCCTGGGGCTCGGGCCCTCGGGTTCAGGGCCGGGCGCGCTTAGAAACCAAAGGCCGGTGCCACGAGGGTCACTGCCAGGCCGGTTGTGGGTGTCTTAGTCCACCGAGAGCTTGCAGCCTGAAGGGAAATCAGGGCCTGTGAAGACCTTTCCGTGTCTGTTGGGATGGGATTTACGATTTTTCTTCCCCTCTTCACTTGGTGAATCAGGGTTTGCTTTTCTCATGCAGCCTTGAGACTGCATGGCCGTGGCCGTGACGTAGTGACTGTTCTCTGCACCGCTGGGTGCAGTTTGCTCCTCGTTTGTGTATGATTCTGTCATCCGTGGTTTCAGTCACACTGGCCTGTAACACGCTGGCCTCGCAAAACAAGTAAGGCATGGCCACACTTTTTCTCCTCTCCAAACGAGTTGTACAAGATTAAGTGTTGGGTAGCATTCACCCATGAAGCCATTAGCCCTGGAGTTTTACTTATGGGAAGGTTTTTAATTACATTTTTATGCCTTTTCTCTTTTTTATTAGTTGATCTCACCAATTGTTTATTAATTTTGTTAGGGTTTTTTTTTTTTTTAATTTTTTTTGCAACGTTTTTATTTATTTTTGGGACAGAGAGAGACAGAGCATGAACGGGGGAGGGGCAGAGAGAGAGGGAGACACAGAATCGGAAACAGGCTCCAGGCTCCGAGCCATCAGCCCAGAGCCTGACGCGGGGCTCGAACTCACGGACCGCGAGATCGTGACCTGGCTGAAGCCGGACGCTTAACCGACTGCGCCACCCAGGCGCCCCAATTTTGTTAGTTTTAAACCTTTGGCTTGATTAAGCCTCTTTATTGGATTAAAAAAATTTTTTTAATCCTTATTTTATTTTTGAGAGAGAGAGAGAGAGAGAGAGAGAGAGAGAGAGAGACAGAGTGTGAACAGGGGAGGGGCAGAGAGAGAGGGAGACACAGAATCCGAAGCGGGCTCCAGGCTCCGAGCTGTCAGCACAGAGCCTGATGTGGGGCTCGAACTTATGAACCACGAGATCACGACCTGAGCCCAAGTCGGATGCTTAACCAGCTGAGCCACCCAGTCGCCCCCATCCTCTTTATTGGATTAAAAAAAATAATTTATTAACGTCTCCTTTCTATTCATTTTCTTGTAATATCTTTGGGCTTAAATTTAGCATTCTTTCTAAGGTCTTCAGATGGATGCTTTTAACTCATTCCTTTTAGCTTTTATTATTTTTGAATATATGCATCTGCAGCTAAAAATGTCTGTAAATATGACTTAACTTCAGCCCATGAGGTTTGATACTTGGTGTTTTGATTATCATTTGGGCAACAACTATGCAGCCCTTTCCCCTCTGCCTCCCTGACACGTGTGTATTAGGATCTGTGTATTAAACGCGCAGGAGTTTTCTGGGACATTCTGTTCTGTCGCTGACTCCTCAGTTCATTGCTCTGTGGCCAGAGGACAAACCAGAGCCTCTCTACTGTCTATTTTAACCCATGCTCCCTGCGTCCTGGAGGTCGCGTGCGTGGCTGCCGTTGAGCGGGGGCCCCGCGTGTGTTCACGAGGCGCTGTCCTGAAGATCTTAGTCCTCACTGCCCCTGGCTTGAGTTTCTGTCAGTTCCTGGCGGCTGTGCCTGCACGACGTGTGCCCGTGGCTTCCGTGGCTTCCGTGGCTTCTGTGGCTTCCGTTTCTTGTCTGTTGTTCTGCTGAGCCTGGCGTCGCGCGTTCCAAGGCGATGCTGTTGGACTGTTGGTGACACGGGCAGTTTCCTCGTGCCCTCCCCCTCCCCCCCACTCCCTCCCCTGTTCTGGCTTTTGTCTCCATGGGTTAATCTTGCTCCGGAACCTCACGTAGATGGAACCACTCGTCACCTTTTGTGTTGGGCTTCGTCTGATAGACACATTGTGAATATTTTTCCCCCGATCCGTGCTTTCTATCTTTCCATTTCCTTAACACAGCCGAACGTTTTCACTTCACCAATTTCAACTTTTACAGTTAGTGCTTTCTGTGTACCTCTCAGGGATTTTTGCCTGACCCAGGGCGGTGCTTTCTGCCAGACGCTTTGTGCCCAGCATTCACACTGAGGCCCGTGATCGACTTCAAATTAATTGTGTGTGTTGTCAGGTGGGGTTGGGATTTGCTTTCTCCACGTGGACGTGTAGTTAGAGCAGCATCTCCACTGAATGGCTCTGCTGCTTTTGTCTGTATTGATGGGCCGCGTGGCTCCACAGGGTGAAGGATGGGGGGTGGGGGGG